TGGAGAGAAAGCGGCTGCTGCGGGGGTTATTGAGGCCGTTACTGTAACAGCTGTTGTTGGTGCCAGTGTTGTAGGAGCCACAGGTGTTGAAACTGTTGTGTTAGCATGTCTGGGACACTTGAGTTTTAGGCTTCCCTCAGTAGGCTGGCTGTTGGATACTGTTTCCATTAAAGAGTTTGGTTAGAATTCAGTCACATATTTCACATTTAGCTGTGTTTTCCAATTGAAATATATGTATTACTTACAAGTGAGTATCATGATGATTAAAAAAGTCTTGCTGATCATCATGCTTGGTTTCATTTCTGCTCTGCTTTCTTTTCCCAACCTACACCTGATCATCTCCTGTAAGAAAATGAAAAATATAAAGAAAATGGTTAATGTTATCGCTTACATTACAATAAAATCCAGGAAATACTGCTGGAGGCCCTGTTGGTGGCTGGGTGTAGTAGTTCAAACTATAAATGCAAACACACTCAGCTCAGCAGAAAAGATACAGCCAACTTTCCGGACATGATGGATGCTATGAATTCATATGAAGTTGGTACCATAGCCCTGTGGTGGCCTTGTTTTGTTCCAGTGCTGGTGGTTTGGGACAGAAACATCCCCCCCCTTCTTTCTTTTTCTTTCCACCAGACTGCATAGTTGAATACAACCACACAAACAAAATGTAAAACACCCTTATGTCTCTCATGTAAATACCTATTTTGTCTTATCTTTTATGTTGTCTTCTGTCCTGTAAATGTGCTATTTAGCAAAAAAAGTGAATGCATAAAATGCAAAAACAAAAATAGCAGTGCACTAGCAGCAAGATAACCATGCACTGTTTGTCACGATAACAGTAATAAAGATGTGGTTATGGTTGCTAAGGTAAAAAAAAAGGTTAAACCTAAAGTTCATGTTTTAAAGATCGAAGAACAAAACAAACAGTGAATCTCAAAAAAGCACATTTAGTTGGTGACAGAGCGGGAACACAGCAGACGTCAACTGTAACACCCCACTGTCCTACAGACTCACAAAGAGAATGAGCTGAAGAAGATTTTCATCAGAGAATGCATTCCTGGTATTCTTAAAAACAACAATTAATTCATGATTGTTAACTCAAATTTTAAATAAAACTAAATCTAATGTCAGTTTAATCTTCATGGCTAATGGAACCAGTGAAGCCCCTCAGACATTCACAGATCGATTAAGAAATGATAGAACTCAATTGTATTTATTTTGTCCTGCATCAGAAACATGACCTAGGAAAACTAAATAAATCTATAAAATTAGAAGTTAAATCTTCGCTACACTGATCACCAAACTAATACAGACTGAATCAGATTCTAAAGTTTTCATGCAGACAGTGATTATAAACACTCACTTGGATGTTGAAGTGATTCAAGTGAAATGATGCTGAAGGTCACAGGCGGTGTTTCTCCAGGGGAGCTTGTTCTGTGTCTTGGTCTCTTCAGTGTCTTATATATACGCTTCTGTTTTATAGTCTGATGACAGAAGATGCTACAACAGCCACGTCAGAGGAGAAAAAATACTGACTAACACATAATAGTCATCATGATTACAGACTTGGAGACATTTCCCTCCCAGATTAAGGTGTTGTCCACACTATTCCCTTCTCTGCTCCAGGTAACGCAGTTGGATATTCATGCTCGGATGCTTGCTCTCTATAAAGATGTGAAACCCGTTCAGTGGCAATGCATACCATTTTTACAATACAGCCAGTAATTAAGAATTGTATTGTTTAAGGTAATAACACCTTTATTTTCTGAGACATATGTTTAAGGTAGAATAGAAGAGTGAAGTAACCTCTGTCCTCCTTCACGGGTTAAGCTGTGCATCACAAGGACCCATTTCACTGTGTGTGTGTGTGCGTGTGAGGGTGTGTAGATGCCGTCATGGATAAACATGGACTAATGTGCATGTTACTGGCTTGACTGTTGCTTTAATGGAAATATTATAGATGCCTTGTGACTCTTTATTACTCTATAGTTCAAAGTTTCTTGATTTGTTTCTTTCTTTTAACATCCAGCCTCAGGCTCTTTAGAGCTTATTCAAATATAAAATTATATATATATGAGCAAAACAAAAGCAAGAGATGTGTAATCTAACTTGTTTCAACCCTCTCTGCCACAAATTATGCTGATATACCACTAATTTGCACCTGATTTCTTTGTGGAAAGTCATCAAAACTCAAAAAGACAAAAGAGAGGCAACATGACTACAAAGAGACAAAGTAATTACAAAGAAAAACAAAATGACTATAATAAGACACAAAACATCTGCAAAGAGATCCACATTTGAACAAATTCCTTCCTGAGATACTATGTTCACAACAATGGGATGGAGGGACAACTCGAAAACGTCACGAGTCCGTGTGGAGGAATAAGAAGACACAAACGATCACAAAGTAAGACAAAACAGAGTATCTGCCGGACCTCTTAATTACATAATTTTTGCACTTGGATCTAGAGGTGGAAAGTCACTAAGTACCTTTATGCAAGTACTGTATTTAAGTACAATTTTGAAGCATGTAGTTTCACTGTCAGTTGGTTGAAGCTCCATGACTGAGACATTTATCTGTAACCAACTCACTGCGGTTAGCTTTTTCTTTCATGTAACTAACACAAATAAACTCAAAAAATTCACTGGGAAGACTGAGTCTGGGGTGTGAGACTAGTGCCAGTGTTTACAACAAACTCCTCAAACATGGACTGGTTTGAAAAGATTTCCTACTAATCCTTTTCCTGATGGTCTAGTGCCTGCAGAAACAGTTTGATGCATTTAATCAGTGACTGCACTTCAAAAAAACATGAGGGCCTTTTCATGTAGAGACAATGGTACAGAACTGGTTCATAGTCCGGTTGCTGCAAACACCTTCTATTATTATATTATTTGTATTGAAATAACAAATTTGAATATTTCAAAGTCTTGTTTTGCTGATATACCAACTACTCTAATGATATAGAAACACAACTAAATATGTATTTTCTTCTTGGCTATTTTATGATGAGGCTCAAAACAAACTCACCTGCGACCAAATTAAACAAATTTTCAGGTTTTAACTATTGAAAGCCCAGCACCATCATCATGATGCACTGGCATCATCTCGGTGCCACACTTGCATTTGAGGCATTATGCTGCATTCAGGTGCTGTTAGAAATAAGAGAAAGAGGATTTGTTTTTGTTTCTTTATAAATACATCACACATGCCGACCTAACATCAAAGAATCTTATTTTAGAAGAATAGAAGAAGGCTGTTTCAGTGGTGATTCCTCTGTGTCGTCAGTCAGTAGGTGGAGTGTCTGTGAGCACATCAGATCGTCACACTTCTTCTGTTCAGTCACCTCTGGAGCTCCTATAAGCATCTGCATGTGATTGATAGTGTCTGTAAAGTCGCTCACCACACACACACACACACACACACACATTATATTTTTATATATTTTTATTATATTGCTACATTTGCTGCTTAAAGTGCCTTAGATTTAGTGTTACTTATTTATCTACTTTATATTTCATTTGTATTTTGTGGTATTCATGTGGACGGCAAAGTAAGAATTTTAATTGTACAAGGAAACACGTTTCCTAACTGTGCATATGACAAATAAACACTTTGAACTAAACACTTTGAACTTGAACATCACTGCGCTCTCTAGAGTGTGGTTTGCCCAGAAGAATGCAGGCAGTCAGGTTTAACTATAGCCACATGCTCTGTCGTACTCTGTGCATACTTCCTTTTGTCACTAATTGATAGGTGGCTGTCATTATGTGATTGGAATGCCTGACGTTTGGCTCACATGATTAGCCAGCTGATTCATGCAATGGAAATAAAAGGTGACAAAGCCTTGTCAGCTATTTGTGTCCTCCTGCCCCAGGACCCCAGACAGCTGATTGGTGCAATAATTTGCATGCATGTTGTAGATAATTCAAATATAGTTACACAAACAGCTGATTCGAGTGTTGTCATGTCATTCGGTGGCCATTATCACTCGTTTTCTCGGCTGTAATTATGGTTCAGCAAGAGCTTCCTGTACCTTCCAGGAGGTTGTCACCATCAATAGATGTGCCACAGAGGTGACCTCTAGTGGCAGAAATAAACCAGTAACAACAACAAAGGCATATGAGAATATAACAACTTACTACACTCCCTAGTCAGTGAGTAGGGTTTACTGAGCCAGAACTGCACCATATCAAGATGAAAACATCATCCTGATGGTGAAGTACAGTGAGGGGAGCATCGTGATGTTGGGCTGCTTTCCCCCTTCTGGGCCTGGACAGCTGCCGTCATAGATACTTGGTTATGGTTCCCAGGTTTAACAAGGAATCCTACAGGATAATGTAGGGGTGGCTTTTGGCCAGCGGAGCCTCAGTAGGAGCTGGGTGATGCAGCAGGACAGTGACCCTAAACAGGGAAGTAAATCTACAACAGAACAGCTTCAGAACAAGAAAATCTGCCTTGTGGAGCATCCCAGTCAGAGCCCAGACCTCAATCCACCAGAGCTGCTGTGGACTGAGCTCAGAGAGCCGTTTACACCAGATGTCCTGGGAATCTGTCAGAGCTGAAGCAGCTCTGTGAGGAAGAACGGTCCAGAGCTCCTTCTGAATGTTGTGCAGGTCTGATCCACAGCTACAGGAGGTGCTGGTCTGAGGTTAATGCTGTCAAAGTCAAAGGTTCACTGGCTTTCTTTACCAGCACTCTGAATGTTTCATGGGTGTGTTCATTGGAGACATGAAAGGTTATAATTGTTTTTGTTTATTAGCTTAAGCACATTGTGTTTGTCTACACCTGTGAGTGAGATAAAGATCAGGCCACATTTTATGAACAAATCATTTAGAAAACTATGTAATTCCCAGTGGTTCACTGACTTTTTTTTTTGCCACTGTAGAATTTAATCTACTGAGTTCACTTTGGCGCACAGTTCTCTTTACTGATGTGCAACGAGCCACCACAGTTCATTTCACATCCAAAACACAATGCAACAACCACATGTCATCCTTATTTCAAGATCAACTCAGTGTACTTAGTGTACCAGGACACTGACTGGTAAAACACAGCTTCACACTGTGGATCTCTGTTGTCTTTTACTCTATTTAGGAAAAAAAGAAGACACTTCCTGACTGTATGGATTATTTACCTCACAGCCTGACAAGTCAGAAATGCTGTAATGGATTCCAACAGTCTCTCTAAAGCTCGGTAGATTAGTGCTGTCACCTCACACAGACAAAAACACCTGTACATTCTCTGTTTCTTCAGTCTTTTCAGTGACTCTGAATGCAAATCAAAACCAGTTTCCTTTAAGGCCTAGGCTTCACAGTGTGTTTCTGACCCATTCACTGACAACGTTCCAGTCCAAGCTCTCAGGTCTCAGGTGATGGTTTTCTAACTGGACCTAGAGTAGGATCGAGTTCTGGTGAGACTGGTGTGTTGCTTGTCTATGTCTTCAGGAGGGTGGTTGTTTATCAGTGTTATTTGTTGTTTTTTATTATAGTTGCATGTCACTTGCTGCTCTGTACACTCCACAGTGCCCTTACATGTAATGACATGTGCTTTGTAAATTAAATCACCTTGCCAACATGGAACCAACAAGAAAACTTTGTGGAAATTAAGAAACAAACCCTTTAACTTCCAAATTCTATGAACTCAATCAGATTACAGTTTAGGAGCTAAATCTCTGCTGCATTGAGAACAAGGCCTCTGGTGCTCAAACGCTCCTTTGTTTGCTTGTTGATGTCCATCCCTCAACAAACAGCAGCTTTTGTATCCACACAGAGCAGGTAATATAACATTAGATTCAGAACAAAGACACAAATGATCTATGAGGAAAGTTTGTTTTCCCTGCAGAAGGTGTGGCCACTGTCAGAACAGCTTGTTCCTACTGATTGTTTTTGGTAGTCAAATATAGCGTATAAAGAAAATGGCTGAGTCACAGAACGTTTGAGTGACAAGTTTATTACATATTTTTCATTGTAGTGAAAACAATTGTAAGGATTACCAAGTTTAATTGTTGGATAGATGAAGGATGGCACCAAGCTTCTTCATCACTGTGCAGCCTGTTTTGTTTTCTGTTAAGTATCAAAAACAGGAGGTAATGTGTTAACATTAACTGGAGCAGCCAGAGCTTCAAGACTGTGATCAGCTCCATATCTTTTGATCTTTATTTTCATTTACACGAGAACAAAATTAATTGCACTTTGTATCAGGTTGGTTTCTATTTCCTACTGTCTTATTGCAGCCAGAGATCTGTAAACATTCATGGGGTTAACTGGACTCACCTGTCACTCATTAGTTATCATTGTGGTTTATTCTAGTTACTCATTTCAATGATTCATTGGTTTTTGGTTTTGTTGGTTCTTTGTGGTGGTCAGTAGGGCTCATGTTGAACTGATCTGGTTTAAATGCACTGATCCTCCTTCCATGTCTTTTACAAAAAAACTTTGTGTCTGTTAGCTCAAAGTTGCCCACCAATTTTTGCTTCCTAAGG